TCCAAAACCATCCAATGGGCCAGATGGGAATCTTTGTCAGGCTGATTCTGGCCCACAGGCTTTGTATGACAACCCTGGTATATACCACTCAGTTTGGCTTATTGTGAAACTGTGACATTATTAGCCAGATCATTCCACATTATATCACAATAAAAAAATCTACTTACTCTGTAATGTATGAAAACAAAACCATCTAAATGACAACTGCACTGTGAATTAGGTGATTTAAACTGTAATTTAAATCACCTAATAATTAAAAAAACAACAACAAAAAAACAAATCCCAGTAACTCACAGCTGATGGAGAGGTTTACTGGATCACTGGTAACAGTACTGACAGGGTTGGACACACGACACCTGAATGGTCCCTGGTCAAAGCGGGTCACATTGATTATAGTCAGACTGGAGCCTCCATCAGTGAGCTGAACTCTGTCACTTGCTGTAACCTCAGAGCTGCCGTTAAACCAGAGGAAAGAGAGAGAGGATCCAGAGGCAGAGCAGGACAGAGAGACAGAACCACTGAACTCAACCAAGTCTGTGCTGCTGGAATTTACCAACACACTGGAGACTTTCTCTGTGAAAAAACAAATACAACAAGTAGTTGTATTTTTTGGCATCAACAATAGAAAATAAGCATTAAAATTACAAAAAATCTGATTCCAGCGAAACTTAAACTAGAAACAATATATTTATAATTAAACCTTAAAAGAAGTACTGTACCAACCAAATGCTTCAAATACTTGAATTCACATAACTGACGATATCAACTCCCTTTAAGTGACTATTCTGAACAGAATCAATGAGATTAATTGAGTTCTCAGCTCGTTCTTTATCGTATGGGGGTCAATAAAATAAATAAACCATTCAGTTTCTTTCAGCCACTTTTTAAAGTCTTTAATATCACAGTCTTAAGAATAAGACGAGTTATTACAAGAATGCATTACTGCAGTGAGTAGAGATGTAACAGATATGTACTAATCATTACAGGTATTTTTACATGTTCAATATATTGTAAACTTGCTTAAATATTGCAAAAACACTTAAGCTGTTGAATTTCTACATCTGCTCACCATGTATCACCAGAGTAGTACGTCCATTCAGGATTGTTCCATCGTGTACAGCGTTAACACCGTATTCTCCAGTGTCATCCAGAGTGAGACTCCTGAGCTCCAAAGACACAGTAGATGGGAAGAAGGTGATCCTGTCTTCATATTCAGGTCCAATAATGTTTTCTGCGTTAATTACGAATATTATTATAGTTGTAGATACATTAAAACTCCAGTTCACAGATGAAAACGGTTTCTCTGATGGAGACAGTGTTGTAGTGAACATCACAGTTCCTCCTACAGCTGCATTCAGACGATCATCAGGCAACACACCAACTCCTTCAGTGAAACCTGCGGGAGAAGAATAAAAAAGTGCTGTTGTTACTCAAACATATAAAACAGTTGTGCAATATGTAAAGATTAGAATGAAATATGGCAGGTCTGAAGAGTTTGAGTTATTTTCATTAAAGTCTAATGTCAGCTTTTCCAGATAATACTGCACATAATTCTGATCGAGTTTCAGGAACTCGCTCAATAATCGCGTGGTTATTAAAACAGTTAACCAGCTGTTGCTTATGGTGACTTTCTGCTATTCTAAGCCCTTGGCGAACAACCAAAGGAAAAAATGACTTTTTGTAACGAGACCATAAGTTCTGCTGAACATCTTAATTTTGAGACTTACTTGCAAATGCCACAAAGACAACAAGAAGCTGTAGTAACAAAGCCATTAATTAAATATCCTGGAGTGTGCAGTTAGTAATGTTCAACTATCAAACTGACCAAAAATCTACTGGCTCAGTATGGTGAATGAAACTCTACTTAACAAGATGCATTTTCAGTTTCATGCGCAAAGAGAGTCGTAGATTTAAAAAAAATGTTGTTGTTTTTTTGTAATCTGATGTACCAGAAAACTTGCAGGATGCCTCCCTCATGTGGTGCAACTGTGTTAGTGCAAGATGTAAAACTTGAAATGTTGATATAAAAACGTTGATGTCCAGTCACAGGATGTTTTTCCGATTATGCCACACAGTTTAATTGATCATCAGAAAACAAACCACTATGCAGTAACGTATTCCTGCACTGCATGCCAAAGCCCTAGTTATTTATTTAGGTAAAAATACTCAGAAAGATACTGAAAATTTTTTATAACCTTCCAAATGACCTAAAACTATAAACAGAATGCAACCAATGTCGAAACAATTCATTTATTGCAAACTTTGAGCCAAAATCTTGATACCTGTTTTTGAGTTTTTAAAATTCTGAGTAAGACGGTGAAGCAAGGCAAAATAGTGTCTTGCATGGCCTGAGTCCAAGAAGAATAAATGTCTATCTCAAAAAAACGGAATCATTTATTTTCCTTTTGAGGTAGAGCGTTTCAGGGCGGGCATAACCAAAACAACAAACACAATACAGTACGGCTGGGTATCGTCACTGATTCAATTGATTCGATTTAAATCTGGGAAATTTTGCCTCAGACAGTCAGAAATATTATAATTCAGATCAGTACATTTACATATTTTTGTATCTATAAAAAGGAAGCTGACACTTGCAAGACTTCATCAAAGGTGTGAGCATCACAGCAGATGCCTTTGTGTCAAAGTAGCTGAAGATAAAACACAGAAAAACATGAAGGTTATTTTCCTGGCCTGGGATTTTATAAAAATATTCTGCATCAAAAATGAAAGAAAACCATTAATCAACATATGAACATTACCTCTGAAGTTACAGCGGTTTTATTAGAGACACAGCTAAGCATTTTGCATTTTGCATAATTTTAAAAAGTTTAAATTTGTTCAGTTGAACGACAGAAATTAGGTTTTCTTTTCGGAAGTAAGTAAAAGGGGAAAAACAGCGGCCGACAGCGCTGTAAACAACGGTAGACTTGTGCGTAACAAGCAAATAATGCAGAAAACAGATTTTTAGACGGGAAACTGTTCTTGAAGTATACAGAGAGAGAGAGCTGTGCATGAAGTGTGATTTTATCGTGGTAGAAGCAAAACAGCAAAAGTCAGAGGGAATCCAAGATTTTTTTTATTTTTTTTTATTTTTTTTGGGAATCCAAGATGATGTTTATGTGAAGCGTTTGGATCTTCTTTTGCTGCTGGTTCAGTCAGTATTGTTTGGAGAGAGACTAACAGCTTTATAATCAGCGCAAAAAGGGCATAATCACAAAGCGCAGAAACATAAAACCTGAGATTCTGGCATTTCAGGCAAAACAAATTTATATTAAAAAATCGATTCAGGATTTTAATGAATCGAAAACACGTTATCTGAGCGAGAATCGATTTTAATCGATAAATCAATTATCAAAACCCACCCCTACAATATAGGCCTTTTAACTGCCTCCCTAGACTAAACAGGAGAAAACATTTTAAAAGAATTCAGCTACCACGTCTGTTCTCTTCAGAATGATCAACATTTGCAACATTTAAAATATGTACAAAATAATCTTGTTTTTATTTATTTTGTTTAAGAGCAGAAAATCGGTCACACAACAACACACAGCTAATCACACAAAGCCTTGTTGGAAGCTGGAAGTACATATGGGCAAGGCACAGCTGGTCTGGATCGGTCTCAATTGATAGCCAGCCTCATTCAGTCTACAACCAATGATCAACCTCCACCTGGAACTTACACAAGCAAAAGAACAGTGAAGAAAATGAATAAAACCACCCCCACAATACACAAAATTATGACCAGGATCATAACGACTATCCAACAGAGTCACAGAGCTTGTTCCTATCCCACCTATCCCAGGGTAAGAGGCTCAATACTGTAATAATCCAAGTTGTGATATGTCAGAGAACCGAAAACAAGACACCATCACAGAAGGCAAGATCAGAAACTTTATTTCACAACTTACACTTAAAATGGAGATTTCAAACAAAGATTGAGAGGACGGGACCTACATACAGTATCTTCCCAGAAGACAACGTGCACTACAAACCAACCACATGCAAATTGCTCATTTTTCAATTTCAATTTCTCCTGCCCTCTTGGCCTGATCTCTCTTGAAAAAGTCATTTTTACAATGAGAGTCATGCATTGATAAATATAGAAGTTGCTTTGCTAAAACTTGCTTCTTATTCTTTTTTTTTCTTTTTTTTTTACAAAAACTGACAGCATCAACAGAAATCAACAGACACTCGCGGATTCTTCCACTGACCGCTGGGCACACCTGCACCAAGGCAAACATCCGCCTGCTTTACAGGTGAAAATAGAGCAACAGGACCGCTGAGTCTTTGATTCTATTTATTTTCTGCTGTGTTTCACTTGCATCTATTTGAAAGACTGAGTGTAAACACAAAAAATATTTTATTTTATGTGCTGGAATGTGCAGAAAATGGGTTTAAATGTTAAACAAATTTCTTCCAGTCAGAGAATGTTGCATATTATTTAATCTTTGCTTGATGCATAAAGTTAAAAGATTAAAACTAATAATAGAAGATTTAAAAAGAGACTTTTGGGATGATGGATTATGCAGAAAAAGTAGAATTGGGCTGAAAGATCTATCGCTTTATCACCTATTCAGGTTCTAAATCGTGTCTTTAAAAAGTAACGAAATAACGAAGTAACTAAGTAATTAATTACTTTTGAAAATAAGTAATCAGTATAGTAATGGGATTACTTTTGGGGGAAGTAATCAGTAATTAGTTACTGATTACTTTTTTCAGGTAACTTGACCAACACTGCTGCTGTGATGGGTCATTGGAGCCTAATTGCCAAAATAGATCAATTAATTTCTGTCTGACAATAAATCCTGTTGAATTCTGTAACTAGCTGTTACAGTACAGAAGGAAAGCTTAATGTGACTAAACAGAATCGGACACAAACATTTAGTAGAAAGGTTTGTTAATGATTAACAAGTTCGTGAAGTTTAACCTTTCAGAATAACAACATGACTTCCTTATTGAATGAACATTCATGTACCGGTATTAGCAAAGGAAAAGGCAAAGAGAGGAGGACTGCTTTAGAAATGGGAACATTTTCTAATACACTTGTGATATACTTCTTCATTTTTGGGTCCATCTCAGGTGAGCTCTCACTGCTTGATGTGGCAGAAAAAAACTGTCTGCTCACACTGACTTTAAAGTTTTATTTTAATCATGTGTAACCTGAATATTATAAACAGAAATTGTTTTTTCATGCTCAGATAACATGGAGCAGAGAAGAAGCAGGTTTGTACAAAAGTATTTTAAATGAGAGTAGGAGAGCAGTGCCATGATCCTTATAATTCTCTCAGGGCTTCTCTAGGAATGCTTAGTTTTCCTCGTCCTTTGTGTCGTTGTTCATTGATCGTTAATTGTTCATCATGCGACTTTAACTCTCTTAACTCCTCTAATTTGTTCTTCATGAATATAGAGAGAGAAGAGTGGAAACAAAAGACATTTAAAAGAAAGTTGAGTGCTTCCTTCTGAATCTCAGTTTAAATCTATTCCAATTAAACCCTATAGTTCTTGTCTCCTTTCTCCTCTGGATGCAGGACTTGGGACACCTTTCTCAAGACTGATTTCAGATGTAGGACAGAGGAGACAGGAGAAATATGGGAAGCCTTTGATCAGGTTGCTTCAGCTGGCTCCCCTGTTGGCTACCTGTTTCTAGATTATGTTGTATGTGAATCTGTCAGTGTCAGTGTTTTTTTCTTGATTTAACCTGCTGTGTGTGCTTCTTTTTCTTTTCTATTTTTCAATGAAACCTATAATGAAAATAACTTTAACTTTTCAGACGTGCTTTATTGTTTACTGATCAATTAAACTGTTTGAAGGTTTTGGTTTTTTTATGTGACTGGTGCAGGAATATGTTACTGCATATGGTTTGTTTTCTGTTGATCAATTAAACTGTGTGGCATAATCGGAAAAACATCCTGTGACTGGACATCAAAGTTTTTATATCAACATTTCAAGTTTTACATCTTGCACTAACACAGTTGCACCACATGAGGGAGGCATCCTGCAAGTTTTCTGGTACATCAGATTACAAAAAAAAACATTTTTTAAAATCTACGACTCTCTTTGCGCATGAAACTGAAAATGCATCTTGTTAAGTAGAGTTTCATTCACCATACTGAGCCAGTAGATTTTTGGTCAGTTTGATAGTTGAACATTACTAACTGCACACTCCAGGATATTTAATTAATGGCTTTGTTACTACAGCTTCTTGTTGTCTTTGTGGCATTTGCAAGTAAGTCTCAAAATTAAGATGTTCAGCAGAACTTATGGTCTCGTTACAAAAAGTTATTTTTTTCCTTTGGTTGTTCGCCAAGGGCTTAGAATAGCAGAAAGTCACCATAAGCAACAGCTGGTTAACTGTTTTAATAACCACGCGATTATTGAGCGAGTTCCTGAAACTCGATCAGAATTATGTGCAGTATTATCTGGAAAAGCTGACATTAGACTTTAATGAAAATAACTCAAACTCTTCAGACCTGCCATATTTCATTCTAATCTTTACATATTGCACAACTGTTTTATATGTTTGAGTAACAACAGCACTTTTCTATTCTTCTCCCGCAGGTTTCACTGAAGGAGTTGGTGTGTTGCCTGATGATCGTCTGAATGCAGCTGTAGGAGGAACAATGATATTCACTACAACAATGTCTCCAACAGAGAAACCGTTTTCATCTGTGAACTGGAGTTTTAATGTATCTACACCTATAATAGTATTCGTAATTAACGCAGAAAACATTATTGGACCTGAATATGAAGGCAGGATCACCTTCTTCCCATCTACTGCGTCTTTGGAGCTCAGGAGTCTCACTCTGGATGACACTGGAGAATACACTGTTAACGCTGTACACGATGGAACAATCCTGAATGGACGTACTACTCTGGTGATACATGGTGAGCAGATGTAGAAATTCAACAGCTTAAGTGTTTTTGCAATATTTAAGCAAGTTTACAATATATTGAACATGTAAAAATACCTGTAATGATTAGTACATATCTGTTACATCTCTACTCACTGCAGTAATGCATTCTTGTAATAACTCGTCTTATTCTTAAGACTGTGATATTAAAGACTTTAAAAAGTGGCTGAAAGAAACTGAATGGTTTATTTATTTTATTGACCCCCATACGATAAAGAACGAGCTGAGAACTCAATTAATCTCATTGATTCTGTTCAGAATAGTCACTTAAAGGGAGTTGATATCGTCAGTTATGTGAATTCAAGTATTTGAAGCATTTGGTTGGTACAGTACTTCTTTTAAGGTTTAATTATAAATATATTGTTTCTATTTTAAGTTTCGCTGGAATCAGATTTTTTGTAATTTTAATGCTTATTTTCTATTGTTGATGCCAAAAAATACAACTACTTTTTTTTTTTGTTTTTTCACAGAGAAAGTCTCCAGTGTGTTGGTAACTTCCAGCAGCACAGACTTGGTTGAGTTCAGTGGTTCTGTCTCTCTGTCCTGCTCTGCCTCTGGACCCTCTCTCTCTTTCCTCTGGTTGAACGGCAGCTCTGAGGTTACAGCAAGTGACAGAGTTCAGCTCACTGATGGAGACTCCAGTCTGACTATAATCACTGTGACCCGCTTTGACCAGGGACCATTCAGGTGTCGTGTGTCCAATCCTGTCAGTACTGTTATCAGTGATCCAGTAAACCTCTCCATCAGCTGTGAGTTACTAAAGTAAATGTTCAGTAATTTATCTGAAAACATCTGCACACAAGCATCAGGGTGTTTAGATATCATTTTAGATTTCAGAACATTAGATATGTCCGATAAGCTGAATAAAAGATGGATGAGATCTTTTTTCTGTGAATTGTGAATAATTGTGAATTGTGAATAATTTTACGATTTCACAAGAGAAACTGAATGTAACATACTTTTACATTTTTCATCCACCCAACGTAACTTTTCTATTTTCCCTTTACATTTAGATGGTCCTGAAAATATGGATTTGATCTCATCTCCTCCACAAGGATACTTTGCTGTGGGGTCAGACATCAGCCTCACCTGCTCAGTTGGATCCAGACCTCCTGCCCACTTTAAGTGGTTTCTGAATGGAGATCAGCTGCCTGATACTGGATCAGAGCTCAGACTGATGGATGTTCAGATGAGTCAGAGTGGAAACTACATTTGTCAGGCCTTTAACAGCAGAACTCTGAGATATGAAACATCTCCGCCTTCAGCCATCACTGTGCTGGGTGAGCCAAATTTATTGTTAAAAAATGTAAGATTCATGCATTCTTTGCTCTCTGGATTCTCAGCCACATGTTAAATAAATTCTTCTTTGTTTAACATGTGGCTGTTATGATAACAACGTTGGTTATGATTTCATTACATATTGTGAGCTTTATGCGATTAGCCTAACATTATCACAATTTGTACAAGCCGGCAAAAAAGTCTTCAGTTCATTTCTGACATGCTAACAAGTAGTAAACATTATTCGGTTCATTTATGGTTTCAGGTTGAAAGAATGGCATTTTTGAGGGTATTTTTTTATTTGCAATTAAGTAAAGCATGAATAAATTGTTATCCACTTGTTTTAAATATATATTTAATCACCATGGGATAATTGCTCATTGAAGATTAATAATGAGTTAATAGGAACACTAGCTAATTTTAATAGCTTTGGGAGTCATCATTGCTACGACATAGTTAAGCTAAAGAACCATATCATCAGAATGTTCATAATATTAAAAATAATAGTATTTAGCACTACTTACCGTTACATTTTTTGAGAGAGGATCATACAGGTATGTTCTGTCTTGTCTGCATCACCAGCAAGCAGATAAAACTCTCTTATCTCTTAGTTTCTAACCTGTATGTAAAGAATTGTATGTGCATTTTCTTTCTCAAAAATCTGTCTCCTGGCAAACAGAGAAAATATCAGGTGCTTCAATCTTGCTTAAATCTTCAACAAACCTGCCAGCTGAGGGGACCTCTGTCAACTTAACCTGTGAGGCTTCCGGCTCAGTCTTTACCAGAAACTGGATGAAGGATGGCTCCAAACTGACCCTGACTGACAACATGACCCTTTCTGACAATAACAGAGTGTTGACCTTTAACTCTGTGAATAGGAAAGACAATGGAGAATATTTTTGTAATATCAGCAACCCTGTCAACAGTGAAGGAGCTAAATACATCATGATTGTTAATTGTAAGTAATATGCTGTTCAGTTCACACTAACTGTTCACACGTATGGTTATATAATATTGAGGTACAATATTGGCACTACTGACAATATATTTAATCAATCATTGCAATTGTTTTTTTTTAATTTAATGCAATGAACACATTTATTGTGTGTATTACTTTATTAGGTGTCCTTCAGATGGACCAGAACATTTTCAAATTGAAGTTCCAAAAATATCCATATCAATATTAAAGACACCTTAAATTTGACTTCTATCCAACTGTTCATGTTCATCTAGTTTTAATAGTGTTCGGTCCTTTGGGGAAAGCCAGCCAAGTGACATAATCTCTCCAGTGAGTCCTGGAGTCATCCTATTCAAATGCTTATTTATTTCAATGCTTATTTCTGCTATCATAGATGTTGTCAGAATCCCTTACGCAGGATCACTGTAACATACAAACTGCAGTAAGGTGTAAATTTACAGAGGGGTTAAATTTGACCTGCTCTTCTAAATCCACACAATCTTCCAGATCTACCTCATTCTTTATTTCAATTCAATTTATTTATATAGCACTCGTCACAGGATATAAACCACAAAGTGCTTCACAATAATATAAGAACAGATATACATATAAAACAGCCCAATCAAACATTCAGCACAAATCTAATTAAAAGAATCTTGAGCTACTTTTTGAAAGAATAAATACAATCAAGGTTATGCGATGATTGAGGGAGAGGATTCCACAACCTGCGGGCCACCGCTCTAAAAGGTCTATCTCCTCTGGTCTTAAAACGTGTTCATGGGACTACCGTGGGGTTCTAAAAGATCAGAAATGTAGGCAGGGGCATCACAATTCAAAGCTTTAAAAGTCAGTACCAAGATTTTAAAATGAATTCTAAAATGTACTGGAAGCCAGTGTAATGAACGTAAAACTTGTGTAACATGCTCTCTTTTTCGTGTCTTAGTTAAAAGCCTTGCAGCAGCATTCTGGGCTAACTGGAGACGGTCAAGATTCCTTTTGCTCAAACAAAGAAAAAGACTGTTACAATAATCTATGCAGGATCAAACAAAAGCATGAATAACCATTTCTAACTCAGGTTTAGACAACAAAGTTCACAGTTGGGAGATATTTCTGAGCTGAAAAAGGCAATTCCTAATTAACTCATTCACTGCCATTGACGTCTATAGACGTCAATGGCAGTGAATGAGTCAATGGGTTTAACTCATTCACTGCCAATGGCTGGCAGTGAATGAGTTAACTGTCGAGAGTGTTGTTGGCAGAATCAAAAATGGGGCAGATCATTACCAATTTGGGTGACTACATAAAATAGAGGTTTTTAAGCATCACTCGCTCTTTTCTAAGAGAGTGAAGCACATTTCTCAAAGATGGATTAATGTAACTGAGAGAGCATCATCATCAGCATTGTATGGATTTGATGTGAAAGGTAACTGTGTGCTCTGATACTCTTGGATTTTGCAGTGTGCCTATAGTTTTAATATTTTCCATGAACTAAATTTTGGAAATGTATCCTAACACTTAACTACCCTTTATCAAAACATTAATCTTCAGCAAAATATTTGCTGAAACTACACAGTGCATTCATCATTTTGACAAATACAAGTGCTCTCCAGACAAAGACAGCAATGCACTGACCAAAAGTCCTCTGAAACCTGTTCAATTATGAAATCAAACAAAGAGAGAAATTATTGGAGAGTTTTGAGATGGTGAGACAACTTTGTGTCATCTTTATTTTATCTCTATTTGAACTTCCCCAGATCAATCATCAGAATGTGCTGCAGGTTGTATCGCTGGGATTGTAATCGCATGTTTTGCCATCGTTGCTGTTGCTTGTGGTGTAGGATACTACTTTTATAGGCGAAGGTAGGTGGATCATTTCTTAATGATCTTATTAGTCTCTGAATCTGTGTACTCAATCCACTTCTAAACACATAAGCAAAAGCATATGCTTGTGCTTAACTTAGCAATGTTATGTGTAATTCATTTAACATCATATCATTTCATGAAATAACCACAGAGGTGCAAGTATTTCAGTGCACTGTTTGTTTAAACAAACAAGTCTTTATCATTTATCATTAAGGTTGGATTTAAATAAATGTAAATGTTTAGTGTTACAGTTTTGTGTAACTTTGTGGACAGACTTTGATATATGCTTCATTTATTATATTTAGAACCAACAAAAATCCACAGACACATAATACAGGTGAGTAATATTTTTAATATACATTTAAAATATTGGGGGCGATCGTGGCTCAAGATGTGGGAGCCAAGTTAAGATAGTTCATATGTTTTAGTATTTATATTTCGCTGTTGTTAAGCTTGTGTGTGTAATTAATAATTTTAGGAAATAGATGCATGTTTATGGTGGAACTAGGTTATGTAGTACCATGAATACATGTGCCTTAAAGACTCGTGTTTATAGTAAAATCCGGGCATCACGGATGTATGCAAATTAGTGCATGCGGTGCGGGAGGGGAGAGAGAGAGAGAAAAGGAGTTAACACGGCATAAGCTATACGGGGCAGCAGGGTAGAACAGAGCCACACGGTTTTCCTACCGTAGTAGGTTATTTTGTTGAGGACAAGTTAAACCTGACCACTCCTGTAAGATGCAAAACTGTGGAATAAATTTTTTGTTACATCCTTTCACATCGGAGTCCCGTGGAGTTCTTTTTCCTCTTCAAACTGACGTACGCGAGTGAATCACGGGAAAACTGGTCTCACGGCTTACACATTTGTAGGAAAACCTGCTCGTTGTGGAGTAATTGACGCGACTAAAGAAGCAAAAAACCTGAGCTGCTGCAGCGACAACAAACGTGAGTAAGTGGAGCTAATTCACGAGGAAAAATTGCTGAGTCATGGTGGATGCTGAACTGTGTGGTAGCCAACCTGCATGATTTTTAGATGATAAAATAAGGATTTTGGTGTTGCTATTCGGGAAATTAATAGCATGAACAACGAAGAAGAAGACACAGTAGCAGAATTGGAAGCTAGGGCGGTGAAAATCACACCTAAAGCTATGGAGAAAAGGCTGCAACGTGTTATCAATTTACAGAAGGCCAAGCTAGCCAAATTAACAGGCACAGTGAAACAAGTGCGCCAGCTGATGGAAAATGAATGTGATACCAGCCTAACAGAAGTAACACAGTTAATGAAGGATTTTAATGAGCGGTTTGGAGAGTTTTGTGGTTTGAACACAAATGTTAAAGAGGTGCTCCAGCAAACGCCGGAGGAGGATTTAACTAAAGACCAGGAAAAATGGTTTAAACCTAAGGCTGATTCCTTTAAGGCTTTTGCTGAGACAGCTTCGGCTTGGATTGACAAGATGGCCATGCGCGCTGGGGAGACTGAAAAATGCAATGAAGATGTGGATCCATCTGACAGCATATCTAATGTATCTGTCTCAAAACACAGTGATAAGGCATTGTCAGAACGCGGCTCCTGCGCTTCGTCATCGGTGTCGTCCACACGCATGAAGGCAGAGGTGGAGCGAGCTACCTTATTGATTAAGGCATCGTCTTTAAGACAGAAACGCTTGCTGGAGGAAAGGGAGGCTAAGCTCCAAGCTGAAAAGGAGGAGCTAGAAATACAAACAGCTCTTGCAGCAAATGAGGCAAAGATCAAGATCTTATCGGAATACGAAAGTCGTGCATCCAAGGCATCCAGTCGCGTATCCACTCGGGATGGAATGAACTCCTACGTGGCATCGCATAAGGTTGGAGATTTATTTACTTCACAGCAGTCAAATAGCCCATCCCCCACACGAGAAAGACAAGCGCAGAAGAAGAACATTCTCCAAAACGCACAGCAAACACACACTGTTACCTCCCAGCCATCGCAGACACCAAGTGCTCTACAGGATGTGGTCGAAGCGCTAACTAAGCAACAGAAGTTAGCTACGTTGCCCCCGCAGAACATTTCTGTGTTTAAAGGGGACCCATTAGAGTATCGGCTGTTCATGCGAGCTTTTGAACATGGTGTGGAGGACAGAACAGAGAGCGACAAGGATCGATTGTACTACATGGAACAATACACAAGTGGGCAACCACGAGAATTGACACGGAGTTGTCTTCATATGGAACATACACATGGATATCAAATGGCTAAGAGACTGTTAGAAGAGCACTTTGGAAATGCCTACAAGATATCAGTGGCATACATTCACAAGGCTCTTAACTGGCCAACCATCAAGTCAGATGATGGAGAGGCTCTGCATGCTTTCGGCCTCTATCTTACTGGATGTCATAATGCAATGATGGATGTGGAGTACATGGAGGAGTTGGATAACACGGCCAACATGCGTGCTATCGTTTCCAA